TAATTTTCACTGGGAAAGACAAACTGATAGAAACATAAAGGCACAAAAAGCCAAACACACACACACACACACACACACACCCCAGAAGACAGTCACCTTAATGGGAAAACATCCATGCTTCACTACAATTCCCTTTAGCGTTAAAGTGATCTGTAGTCTTCTCTTCTTGAATTTTATCCTTGTACCTATGATGATATATTTATGATTAAATATATTCTCTTTCTACAAAGTGAACTTATCACTTATAAGTAAATCATAAAGAAACAGTTCTCAGGTCTCGGGTAATGCTTAGCAAATACTCGTTTGCACCATCAGCTAGTGTAGACGTTCTAAGTTTTACTTTTAAAGCACTTTGCCACTTGTTTCCTAAAATGTTTAAGATAAACACGCATAAAAGGCACAGTCCTGTTGGAAGTTCCTTTACATGGTTCCCTAAGTTCCGGAGCGCATGTCTGTGTGTGGTCTGCTGGGAAACCCCGGGAGGAAGGAGTTTGTAGGGTTCCCGAGGCCCTGGGGACCCGGACAGGACTGGGCCTCTCTGGGTAGGCGGGGCTGGCTGGGTGGCGTCGCCGCCTGGAGCGCGCGGGGCCGCGTGGGCGCCCAGGGGGACGCACTTGCCCCAGGAGGCGGCCGTGGGAGTCCAAATCCACACCCCGCAGAAAGAACTGTCGTTTGCGGAATTAAAACGAGCTGTCAGGTGTCTTCAGAAGTTTAGACGCGAAAAGGCAAGGAGTTAATCCTTGCTGGACAAACCACTGCTGCTTCCAGAAAAACCCCTGCTGCTTCCAGAGAAACGGTTTAAAATGGGAGGGGGCGCTTTCGTAGGAAGCGGATTCAGAAAAATAAATACAACTCAATAGATTACAATAAAATAAAATTGGAGGGCACCAAAGGAACATTTGGTTATTCAAAAGGGTTGTTTTTTTTTAATGAGAAACGACTTCAAAGGCGCCTTGGAAAGTGGGTGGGACGCGCACATCTCAGCCGTCACGAGGCAGGTGGGCCCCCCGGGTGGAGACCCCGGAGGGCGTTTGCCTGGGAGCTACCCCCGTCCCCAGCCGGGAGAGAGCAGAGGGCGAGACCACGGTTCCCAGCGTCTGCTCCCCTCGCCGGAGCTTTCTCCCCGGGGCGGCGGCCGCCGAGCTCCTGGAGATACAGCCGGGCGCAGGGGAAGGCGCGGCTGCTCGGTGTCCGCGCGGGCGTGGCAGCCCCGCTGCGCGCTCATTAGCGCCCGCTCCGCCCAGTGGCTTCCCGCGGCTGCGTGTTTACTTGTCATTTTCTGGCGGCTTTGTTTTCCACCCAGCTTCTGAGCGTGGGCTGGCCTCTTTCTCGCTCTGGTTTTCTTTTTCATTCCTCTTCTTCTTCTTTTTTTTTTTTTTTCGAGACAGGTTCTCACTCTGTCGCCAGGGGCTGGAGCGCAGTGGCGCAATCCTAGCTCACTGCAGCCTCGACCTTCCGAGCTCAAGCGATCCTCCTGCTTCAGCCTCCCCAGTAGCTGGGACTACAGATGTGAGCCACTGCGCCAGCCTAATTTAAAAAAATTTTTGTTGTTGTTGTTTTTTGTAGAGACCGGGTTTCACCGTGTTGCTCAGGCTGGTCTCGAACTCCTGGCCTCAAGCGACTCCCCCGCCTCGGCCTCCCAAAGCGTTGGGGTTCCAGGCCTGAGCCACGGCGACCGGCTCTCTCTCCTTGCTGTTAGGCCGTTCCGGGTCTGGCAGAGCTTCCCCGTGCGGAGCCCCCAGCCCGTTCGCTGCACTTGCGTCCCCCTGGTGGAACAGGCGGCCGTGGCCCAGACACCCCCGGATAGTCACTGTTGCCGTCCCTGTGGTCTAGGGGTCACACTGCCGTCAGGACGACTCCAGAACTGGGAGCCCGGGTCCCCCAGCCTTTGCTCCGGGAGGCCCCTTGCCCAAGGGGCGGCGGGAGCAATACCTGCCCCCTCAGCCTCTCAGGACTTGGTAAATTCTACCACTCAACACCGTGCCCCCGAGCCCGCTGCAGGATTGACGCTGAAGCTCAGGAAAACCTCCGTTTCATTTCATTTTGCTTTGGGAAGAGCCCTGAGAACGGCCCTAGGGTGCTGAAGGCTCTTCCTGCAGAGGGAGGCGGCACGGACCCACCTCGGAGGCGCCGCCTCCCTGGGTCACAGCGATGAGGACCTGCTGTAGAAATTAGACTGAAAAAAAGTCTGATTTCTGCTGATGACGTTACATTTTCATCATCCCAAAATGTCCCTCAGTCTTTATAGAATCCTGTGCGTCCCTGATTCTATTCTTCCCCAAAGGAAAATGGAGAGTGTGACCCTCACCTCATAAACCCTCGGGTAAATGAGAGAGCGCCTCTGGGCTCACTGTTCTGAGGAAGTGCTTCAGCTGTCAGGTAGCCTTGTCAGTCACGTGCGCTCCATTGCCTAGGAGATGAAATTATATTGAAAAGCGTTCATGTCTCTTTTCCACGAAACTGGCAAATACATGATTTATTATCATAAGCAGCATATTCCCATATGACAATTGGTTCATATAGTGTAAGAATGTTCTAGAGTCTCCATGCCAAAGGAAGGTAAAATTAGAAATTGAATTTTCAGGGAAAGGTATGTTTATCTACTTCCTCTCAATGTCCTCAAACCTTTTCTTCCCGCTCTGCAAAGCCCCCCTTCTCTCTTCTATCATCCTCCCTCCCACCAAGAATTCCCCTTATATTAACTCCCAGGTATGACTACTTAGCTTAAAAAGAAGAAAACCAGTCTGTCTGACTTAATTGTTCCCTTTATTTTTTAAAATATATATGAACCCTTAGAGATTTTCAAAGATGTGGTGTTACTTTTTTGGTGTCAATTACTGTTGAAAATAACCGTTTCCTGACTGGCTAGCTGCAAGTTACCCAGCTGTTACACTCCGATGGTTTGAGAGAAGATTTTAAATTTTAAATCTCACACACACACACACACACACACACACTCGTGCTCTTTGAAAATAAGAGTATAGGGTTGCAAAATGAATTGACCAAATGTGGAATCTTGAAAAATATGAGTGACTATGAAGATTTATGGAAGCTGTTTCAAAAGGAAGCTTGTGGAACAGAAATCAAAGAAAAGCTCCAAAATACAAAATTTAGAAGTCTGTTTATTTCTCATTTTTTTTTATTGTGGGTTTTTATAAATGTTTTAACTGTTTAGCAATTAGTTCTGGGAAGTGATATTATCTGTCTTCCATTTGGGTTAAGATTATAGAACAGCTTTTTTATAAAGATTGTAAAACTGGGTTGATTTTTAATATTCTGGTTTTTAATAAAGTAAGCACTGAAAAATAGTGCTTCTATGTTAGATATTTTCCTTTAGTGTCCCCAAATCAGTGATAACTATAATCATTAAGAATTACAGTTCAGAGTGAGAAAAAACTACACTTTTTTTTTTTTCCTCAGCGAGTTACGAGCTCGGCCTGTCTCTCTCACCGAAGTGAATAAATTCATTTCAATAAATGTTGAATATTTACCTTTTGCTAAGAACTGTGCACAAATACATATGATATATGGCTAAAAAAAAAAAAAACCAAAACCAAAAACAAAAAAAGAAAAACCAGTATTCTCCAAAAGTCTTCTAGTATTTGAGAACGTGAGATTTTAAAGTAAGGCTGCAACGAATTTTGGAAGTTAAACTCACTCTATGAAGTCATGTAACAACTGATAAACTCACACAGTGGTTTCATCTCATCACAATCATTTACTTTTAGGGGAGCATAGTTTTAAAATTATTAGTAAATTGTTAAATTATTTTTAAACTATGAGATACCTGTAGTTTGACAGTCAATGAAACTCAGACCAACACCATTTAATAGAATGAATGAATCGTCGTCTCACTGAGTGGCTTGTGGTGTTTTAGAAAAATTGATATTTCAAGTGACTCACATAGGAATTTTGTGGAGTTTGATAAACAAATGCTCCCCTCTCTGAGGTTTGTAGTATTCTATGATAAAATCATCTTAGATTCATGTATAAATGTTTATTAAATGTTGACTCTGGCCAGGCACAAAGCTAAGCCATGTCAGTGCAGAGGTGAACACAAAAAGCTGATTTCACACCTTTTTCTCTTTGCAAAATGCTGAGGCAGAGTGCTTGTAGGTAGCACAATCTTTACTCTTTATGGGTTCATGTTAATTTCCTGAACAAATATTCTGGGCTCTCTTCTCGAAGATTCACTGCTCTTACTTAAGTTCTGGCCTTTCCAGGCCATATTATCTTTCATTCTACTCCACATATTGGTAAAGTGCTGCTGTCATAAAATTCCTAAATAAATTTTGTTCAAACTTGCAAATTTCTTAAATAACTTATGACATGAACTGCTAACTTCCTGAGAAGATGTAAATATTTAAGCATTTTTAGTAGGGGCTGGGCGAGGTGACTCAAACCTGTAATCCCAGCACTTTGGGAGGCCGAGAAGGGTAGATCACCTAAGGTCAGGAGTTTGAGACCAGCCTGGCCAACATGGTGAAACCTCGTCTCTACTAAAAATACAAAAAATTAGCCGGGCGTGGTGGCGGGTGCCTGTAATCCCAGTTACTTGGAGGCTGAGGCAGGAGAATTGCTTGAACCCGGGAGGCGGAGGTTGCAGTGAGCTGAGATTGTGCCATTGCACTCCAGCCTGGGCAACAAGAGCGAGACTCCGTTTCAGAAAAACCAAAAAGCAAACAAAAAAAACCCCCAAAAACATTGTTAGTAGAATGACTTCATGCATTTCCAGTGGAAGCTGCCTGTTTATGTGTGTGATCAGGACTCAGATCCCTGAGCGCTCCCAGGCTGTGAACCTTCTTGAATGGACACAGAAAGCTGAGACCTCGGAACAAAGGTTTTAAATTAGAAACAGAAGGCAGCGAACACAAAACTTTTCTCATTATTGAAATCCTGTATCAGTGAAGGTAAACAAGAAAATTCTGTTGTGAGTTTAGAAGTGTATTTGTCTTTAACATATTGCTCTCAGCCATTAGGAATTGTTTTGTGTTTTATAGAAGGCCTGTGTGAAGAAGGCGTCGTGATTGCAGCTGGACATCTCAATGGTCATTTGGCAATTAAAGGTCTGCTATAGTCATGGGACTAGACTTAGGAAGGAGTCTTAGCATGGAGAGAGAGCAACCTGTCCATAAATATTCACAAAAGGACAATGGTACTATTTTCTAGAAAATACTGGACTTTGATCTAAATAGGTGTCTATAAATATTATTCACTATAATTATGGAATATTTAAATTGTATATAAAATGTGTCTTTATGTCTTTATCAACATAAAAAGTTAATTTTCTCTAGAATTCTAAGAATGAATAACATATCAATAAAATTTTTTACACGATGATAAATTTCAAAAGTTTTCCAGATATATGTATCTTTACATATATGCATATAAAAATGTTATTGAATATTGAAATATCAAAATAAATCTTGCATAGTTGAAAGGACTATACATTTCTAGTTTTATGCCAAATGAAGTATTGTTTAAATATTAAAGCTTTATCCTTAATATTAAGCATTATATCTAATTGTGAATTTATATTCTTTTTTATTTACAGGCTAATGAAAATTTATAATATCAAATGCAATGTTCTACTACCACATGAGCAAACTGACCTTCTTGATGATGCTCAAATATCTCTTTGCAATGTCTAATCCTGGACCCTGGCTTTTGGCTGCTCCTAGGAGAAGGGAAACCAGGCCTGTGGTACACGCTGATAAGGACAGTGGGCTCCCCCAGGAAAAGCAGATGAGACTCTCATATGGATGACAAATTTGTTATCTAACATTATATTTTCATTTCTCTTAGGGAATATTTTTTGTATATCTACTATGTTTCCATGTTTTTCATTATTTAGCATTAAAATATTCATTCAGTAAAGTGATTGGTGTAACCAGCATTTAAAAATTCTAATTGCGGCCGGGCGCAGTGGCTCACGCCTGTAATTCCAGCACTTTGGGAGGCTGAGGCCGGTGGATCACGAGGTCAGGAGATCGAGACCATCCTGGCTAACATGGTGAAACCCCGTCTCTACTAAAAATACAAAAAGTCAGCTGGACGTGGTGGCAGGCGCCTGTAGTCCCAGCTACTCAGGAGGCTGAGGCAGGAGAATGGCATGAACCCGGGAGGCGGAGCTTGCAGTGAGCCAAGACCACGCCACTGCACTCCAGCCTGGGCGACAGAACGAGACTCCGTCTTAAAAAAAAAAAAAATTCTAATTGCATGCAAAGTTATATTTTGCATCATCCACATAGTTTCATTTTAAAGATGTACAAAAAGACAGGTATGATTCCTGCCTTAGAAGAGAATGTGGTCCAGGCGTGGTGGCTCACACCTGTAATCCCAGCACTTCAGGAGGCCGAGGTGGGCAGATCACGAGGTCAGGAGATACAGACCATCCTGGCTAACACGGTAAAACCCGATCTTTACTTAAAAAATACAAAAAATGAGCCGGGTGTGGTGGCAGATGCCTGTAGTCCCAGCTACTGGGGAGGCTGAGGCAGGAGAATGGCGTGAACCCGGGAGGCGGAGGTTGCAGTGAGCCGAGATCGCACCACTGCACTCCAGCCTGGGTGACAGAGTGAGACTTTGTCTCAAAAAAAAAAAAAAAATATATATATATATACACACACACACACACACACACACACACATATATTTGATAGAACCATATATATATACACACACACACACACACACCCCTATATATTTTTTCTGAACAGTTTGCTGTGTTGTGTCCTGAACTTCTTTTTTTTTTTCTTTCCAACTTTTATTTTAGGTTCAGGGAGTACATGTGCAGGTTTGTTACGTGGGTAAATTGCATGTCTTGGGGGCTTGGTGTACAGATTATTTTGTCACCCAGGTAATGAGCATAGTACCCTGAACAACTTCTTCACTAGAAAATTGGTTTGGGACCTTGAGTAACCAACACGGCTTGGAGGGTGCAGACTATTTCCATTGCTGTGCAGGCTCTCGCCTCTCTCCGCAGCCTTGACGCATCTCACCAGCTCTGCCCTCTGGAATGGGCTGCGGAGGCTGGGCCTCCACACTTGGGTGGAGGGAGCACGTCATTCTCAATTTGCTAGACCGGCCAGAATTTGGGGGGCCAGTCCGTCCGGTGGTTGAACATGGCTGAAAGTTTCATTTACAAACGTGTGGCATTCTCTAGAGAGAAGACAAAATGCTGTCGTGACTGTAGACGCAGAAGTTCCAGTTAACACTGTTGAATCAAAATAAATCTTACATATTAAGCTAGGAAAGGTGGTTTTCTCCAGTCGTGTTAGAAATACGAAGCTTTTGAAAGGAATCAACATCTTTATTATCTCTGTAAAAAGCAAAGACTTTAAAGCATTTTTGGTGGTGTTTTTGTTTACCCCTCTGTACTCAAAGAACTGAAATCAGTTTATTTGTCCATAGGTATGTATATAGCTATATAAGTATCTAGTGCTAGCAAGAATGGGATAGATTTTGGTGGACAACTTATGGGATTTCATGAAGCTTTCAAAACAAGGATGAAAAATGTAGTCCTTTTTAAGAAAGAAAACTCAGCTGGATGGTAAAGCTCTAGAAGCTGTCGCATAGTAAAGACTAAAGCAGGTGTATCTGAGCCTGGAAAGAAAGGTCTAAGGGGAAGTGTAAGTGGCCTGAAATACCTAGGGTTTGCATGTGGATTTTATACTTATTTCATGTTTTATTGACTATTCTGCTGTGGACTGCACTGTGTCCTTCTCATCTCCCAAATTCCTGCGTCAAAGCCCTAATCTTCAGTGTGGTGGTATTTGGAGGTCACCTTTGGGCAGTGACAAGGTTCAGTGAGATCATGAGGGAGGCCCTACAGGGGAGTGATGTTCTCTGCTGTCTGCCAGCCAGGAGGAGGCCCTTGCCGGAACTCAACCATGCTGGTGTCCTGATCTTGGACTTCCAGCTTCCAGAGCTGTGAGAAAATAAATTTATGTTGTTTAAGGCACCCAGCATGTGAAATTGTGTTACGGCAGCCTGAGCTAAGGCAATAAATATTCCAATAAATAGATTTCATATTTATTCTAGGTAGCATCAGAAACCAGAAATAAGGCCAATGGGAATAATTTACAAAGAAGTTAAAGTTCAGTTCGATATAAGGGATTTTTTTTTTTTTTAAACTTTTTTTGAGACAGAATCTCACTCTGTCACCCAGGTTGGAGTGCAGTGGCACAATCTTGGCTCACTGCAACCTGCCCCTTCTGGGTTCCAGCATTCTCCCACCTCAGCCTCCCTCATAGTTGGGATTACAGGTGTGTGCCACCATGCCTGGCTGATTTTTGTATTTCTAGTAGAGACAAGGTTTCACCATGTTGGCCAGGCTGGTCTTGAACTTCTGACCTCAAGTGATCCACCTGCCCCGGCTTCCCAAAGTGCTGCGATTACAGTTGTGAGCAACCGTGCCCAGCACACGGGAGATTTTTTTTAAAAAAAGAACTCAAGGTATATCCTGCGTCCAGGCTGAGCCCTGGTAGCTTGGACGTGTGTAATCCTAAACGGGAGGCTCCCTCCTCTCCCCCCACAAAATGATTTTGGTCTTGTGATGAAGGCTCACCTAGGTGGGCTATAATGTCTCTTCCAATTCAAAATGTGTAATAATCTAAATAGAGAGAAAAAGCAGCTAGAAAAATAAAGCCACACAATGTGAGAAACAAGCACACTATCTAGAAAACGCCTATTCAGAAGACGACTTGAATGTTATCCGAGTCCCTAAACCAGAAGCCGCTATGTGAGTGTAAGTGCTTGTTAATGTGTAATGCTACAGTTTTCAGTGTTATAGTTTTTATGGGATGTTCACATGATTTTATATTTTAAAAGCCTACAGCCAAATTTAAATAAGACTTATTTTACGGGGATCAATCTGTAATAGTTAGCGCTATGAAAAAAACCTTTAGGGAATAAACGAAAAAGACAAAGTGTCCTACATAAAACAGTGGAATAAGGAGGAAAGTAGTGTTTTTTTTGTTTTGTTTTGTTTTTGTTTCTTTGAGACGGAGTCTCGCTCTGTCTCCCAGGCTGGAGTGCAGTGGCTGGATCTCAGCTCACTGCAAGCTCCGCCTCCCGGGTTTACGCCATTCTCCTGCCTCAGCCTCCCGAGTAGCTGGGACTACAGGCGCCGCCACCTCGCCCGGCTAGTTTTTTGTATTTTTTAGTAGATACGGGGTTTCACCGTGTTAGCCAGGATGGTCTCGATCTTCTGACCTCGTGATCCACCCGTCTTGGCCTCCCAAAGTGCTGGGATTACAGGCTTGAGCCACCGCGCCCAGCCGAAAGTAGTTCTTACCTCGTGTCAAAGCAATGAGCTAGGGGCTAGGACAAGGCGCTAGGATGATAATCTCTAGGTCCTGTGTGACACACTGAGCCTGGCTAAGGGCAGATGACTAAAATAATAACACTAAGTATTTATCATGTTGTTTCAAGAATTGCTCATGGATTATCTCAATTCTCACACAAAGCCTGTGAAATACCTACTATTTTTTTAGGAAACTCATTTCACAGATGAAATGGAAACAGGACTATTCAGTAACACTCTGGCCCAGGAGAATCCAGTTAGCCGTGTGGACCCTCTCTCCAAACCCAGCTTGTCTCCAAAATGCTCAGACCTGCCTATGCGCTGTACCACCCACACAGGGAAGAACAGAAAATCACACAGGGACACGTAGAAGCCCTTCTTTGTGACCAGTAACTGAGCCCACCCGTTCCAGTATCAATACTTATTAATAATAATGAAGATAAAGTGACTTTCAAGTCTGAAAGACCCTTCTGATAATTGCTTTTTGCTACATTCTAAATATTTTCACCAAAAGCCTTTCTGTAGAAGGACCTCAGGTGAATTTGGAAATTGGTTTCACACTCCAGGAGAGTTGGTGCAGCTCACAGCAAACTGTGAGGAAGCCCCGGGCTTTCATGTGGGCAGGCCCGGGGGCTCCTGTCGGTGGTTTTCCTGCACCAAGCAAACAGATCTTTGGTCCAATCTTGTTAGTCCAGAGCTGACCGAAGGAGGAGATTGTTCACAAAAAGGTGAGAAAATAATAAAACTGAAATGAGGCAAGACTTTAACATGAAAAGGAAAAGTGCTACTGGAAATTAAATCTAAAATGAATGTAAGGCAATTGCTTTAACAATTTGTCAACAGGCAGGACAATGAAGCGTAGACAGTCCTGCTTTGGAGAAATGACAGTGGAGAAAATGAAAGAAAATTAGAAAGTAAGAGCGGAACAGGGCCAGCCCCTCTTAGGTTCATGCACCTATCTGCGGACCCAGTGCGTGTAGTTTTACACTTTTTGCCAGTGCAGTTTCATGGTTTCTGTCTAAAACCATGCAGCAGCCCAAGGCTGTGGCTTCTGTCACTGATGCGATTGAAGTTAATGGGACTTCAGCCGCTGTTGTGAGGTGCTGGATGAAATTTAACCAATAAGCCTTGGATCTGCGGAATTACTTGAACTTCAAACATTCCTGGAGAGAATGCCCTTGAGATGCGGAAGCCACATTTCATGGACTGTGAGCAACTTGGCCGGGGCAGCGTGGGTCCCACTGGAGTGGCCACGTTTCACCTTCCAGAAACTCATGCATTTCAGGTGCACTGCCAGTGGAGAACATGAGATGTGGTTGGGCACAAAAAAACCAAACACCTGTCCACTGTGGAAATGCCTCCTTTAAAATCAAACTTTGGGCTGTTTGTTGAACTATATTGGAAGGCACTTTTGATCGTTCTCTAAATACTTATCTTATTGATACTTCTATATGATTATCTTATTGATACTTCTGTATAGCCAAATAAGGTGTAGCTGTAGATCTGCCTTTCAGAGACAGAAGGGTCCTGCTCT